GTATAAAATCTTTTTAATAATAATTTAAAAAATGTTTTTAATTTTTTAATTCCATATAGATATATACATACTTTTATACATGCTATAAAACTATAAAAATGTTGTAAATTGATTTATAAATAGATCGATCTCTGTCTCATTAATTATTCAGCTGCAATATATTCAGTTCTGTGTTAATGAAATTAAATTTTCAATGTGTTGACAAATTTAGTTGTTTGTTTGGATTATAGAGAAGTGCAAATCACAGTGGGATCAAGTGATATTTTCCCTATCACATTTTACAAGAAAACACAAATTCCTTTTGAAAACAACTGAAAACCAATAGAGATTACAGAGCAAGTCGTGCTCATAATTACTTTGCAGATTATGCAAATGAAAAACAATGTCTTCCGTAATTATGTATATGAACTCTAGGAACTAAACAGCCAACAAATGCAGCTGTTGCCAGACAAGATGGTGCAAGAACATTTTAACAGAAATGGGTAATTTAAGACATTTACATCAAAATCTGTATCACAGCTTCTAAACAACTTTTAACATGAACTCAGAATATGCATCATTGCGCATATTTGTAACTTAAAATATCACCTTTTCATGTAAGAGTGATTGTCAGTATAAAAGATAGGGTTTCCACAGCTTTTGTGAAGGTAAATTTAAGACTTTTTTTAAGATCAACTAAAGAAAATGTAAGGAATAAATGGAAACAAACACAAAGAAATTCAACAAAATGAAGTGTGTTTATGACTAAAGCAAAAACAAATACCTGCCAATAAGGTCTAGGAAAAACACGCTTATTTTTCTGACCCCACTGTCAGATATTTTTTCTAGTTTCAAGCATAAACACACTTAATTTTAATACATTTCTCAGAAATCAAAACTTCATATCTTCATTTTGCATCTCAAGTATATATCTTGATTGAAGGATGTTTAGATATTTGTACTGGAAAACAAGACAAAAATACAAAATAATACATTGGATTTAACCTTTAATGACATTAAATTAATTTAAGACTTTCTGCTCCAGTTTAAGATGTTTTAAGGCTTTTTACAGTAAGACCGTTTAAGACCCGCAGAAACCCTGTCAAAAAGAAAACTTATCACTTCAAAAAGAAAAAGTAAAAATGTATTTCTCATAGCAAGTGCTGATAAATAGCCTAGAAGAAATGCATCAAAATACAAAATACTTAAAAAAAATAAAATAAAATTAGTCAAATTTAAATCCAAAGACCAACAGGATTGGTAAAACAATGTAACGCATCAACAAAAACCCTCTCAAATCAAAGCTGTTCTTCATATTAACGCTTGTCTCACTGACTGATCACCCTGTCAAGTGATATTTTGGGTAATTAGGTACCATTTAAATACCAAAGTTGAAATATCCTTCTCTGTTAGACAGGGGGTGTTATCATTTCGGTCAGAGCCAGAAGCTAGAGACAGTCCCTAATCACACAGGATCGCCTAAGATAATGTAGTCTGTTTCCTAATGACCCTGCGCTCATGTCAAAGTCATTACTCTCCCGCTGAAGGCACATCATCTGCCTGGACAATCCGTAATTGGACTAAATGGTGAACTATGAAAGAACATTACACATGTCCCTTTATTAATTTGGGCACGAGAGTTTTGCAGTGGTAATTATCGGGGAGGGGTGGACAACGGCAGATGAAAGATAGCGAGTGACTGACTGCTGCAACTTTGACTTTAGAGTCAATGAAAGGAAATCTGCTCTCTCTCTCTCTCTCTCTCTCTCATGGATGCCGGATTCGATGACGTCTCTGAAAGCTCCTTGGTTTCAGCGCCGGGCATCAAACCAGAGCCAGGCCGAGGGGAGACTGCCCTTGCTCTCATGTTTTTATTTATTGTGCAGTTTGTAAGAAAAGAGCAATACAATCTTTTAGATACACCTGTCATTTTACCTTTCTTCTTGTTCTTGGTTGAAGAAAACCAAGACTGGTGGGACCCCGGGCCTCCCTTTGCTCTGCAACTAACAGCGGGTTTAAAAGATGTCAACCGTAAAGGAATTGATTTTTTTGGCTTACACTAGACTTTTTTCAGCGGTGAGCTAGCATGGGGTCTTCTGTGTGGAGGTGGTTTCATTGGAGGGGCTGGATTCACAAATGGTCCTAACAATGTGTTTGGGGCTTGGGGGAAAGATAGGGAGGCCCTCCTGGAGGAAGAAGAAAGTTTCAGCAGGGTTTTTAATCTCTGTTTGAGCACACCCAAGTTCGCTCATACTTTATTTCCTCCAAATATACCTAGTCAGGTGGAAATTACCTGTTTGTGGAACATTTTTTTGCGAACGTTTGATCTCCATACAGTGCTATTTTAGTGTACTTTTGTTGTTTTGTTAATATTTAGAATTAGATTTTATTTTTATATTTTTATTTATATTTACATTTTACTTCTAAAGTTTTATTAATTTTGTTGAATTTATATAAGTTTTTTTTAAATGTCTATATAGTTTTAAGTTTTAGTTTGTTTAGTTTTAGTTAGTTTAGTACTTCAACTTAAACTAAATGAAAATGAGAAATGACAACTTTATTTATTGATTTATTACTTTTTAAAAGTTTTTTTATTTTTTATTTTACATTAAGTTTTAGTTATCAGTAATAATTATATAGTTTCTATAATCCTAAATTAACATTGTTAAAATTTTCTTTGATGATTCAACAGAATTGGCATGTATTAAAAATCATGTTTTATTCCTGAAAAGGTATAGGTATAAAAGACAATTATTTTTTAAATCAAACAATATAATAATTATAGTCCTAGATCCTGACTGATGTAAACAAATCAAATAAATTTTAACTATCTAATAAAGAAAAGATTGACTGTTACACATCTTCTACTTAGCAGAAAAAGTATTATCACAAAATTAGCTTGGAAGCCAAACTTTTAATATTATATATATATATATATATTTTATATATATTATAATTTTTTTTTTTTTTTGAGAATGTGGTGAGACATTTTTAAGCCTTTTTAGCAAAAATACAAAGTATAAAACCTGTATAGGTAGAATACTGGTAAAGTAGGAAGCTTACATTTCTGTTCATTCCATTTTGTGTTTTGTAGATGGTTTACTTTTTTAAAATGGTTTTGTGTAACAGACTAATTATCTGAAAATGTGCCACTTTTGCCTGTATTCATCGTAGGTCCAGTAGTTTTGTGCCATGTTGCTGTTTTCTGTGAATATGCAGCATCTTCATAATATGTCAGCACAAAAATAACTTGTAACAAATGATAAAAATTCAGTTTTGTGGCCAGATATTTACTTCTTCTTTTTTTTTTTGCTGATAATGGGGGCAATCTGTGAAATTCTGCTGAATGAAGAATGTATATCTTCTATATTGTGTATAAAAGTGTCATGTTTGTCATGCTTCTCCTCTTCGTCCTTACAAATGGTCAGGCCTTCAGAATCTACATTTCTCAATCAGGACATATAGTCACTTTACATTTCAACCACCATCTCTATACATCACCATAGCAACAAAACATTTACAGTACACAAAACACATGCAAACAGAGTGCACACAAGTGCATCTGAACCTCTAACCCCAGATGTCAGAATACCTGTGATGGGCGCCAGCAGAGCCGCAGCATCCTGTATGTGTGTGCGACTAATTAGCCTGAACCACGTGTTCAGTCCTCTTGTCAATACTCATCATCGTTGGCTAGAACCCCAGCAAAGAATTGCAAACACCTTATCTGTTAACACACATAAATATGCATGGAGCTGAAACTTGTTTCCAGTCGTGTGGAAGGGCGATCAGGCCCGTAATTGGAGCTCGGTGTGGGGGAAGGAATTTTGTTTTTGTCGTCAGAGTTTTGTCTGGTTTTAAAATACATTCATCTGGTTTTAAAATAAACACATCTCTGTCTGCGACGTCTCTGTTGTGGGGCTTTTGTTTATAGCTAATGGTCCGTGATAAAACCATCATGAAACTATTCAATACAATCCTCAATCTGTTGTCTTTTCATCTTCACACAGCTGTTTTGACAAATTCAAGATTTTAAGACCCAGATGCACAGAGGATGATGAGAGAATCTGATGCGCGAGTGTAGTACATCAAAGGCTCCTAACGAACCATTGTCAGAAGCTCGCGAAACAGCGATGGTGGTGTATCGGTGTGCATAAAAACCTGATCTGATTAGCTTTTTTTCTCCTTTTTGCAGGATGCATCCATCGCTCATCGATTCCACATTATGAGAGAGAAACATCCAGAAAGGTTTAACAGCAGGTACCGCTCACTCTCTATCTCTGTGTTAACACCAAACACTTCACCAACACTGCATCTTAACTCCCACTGTTTTGGCTGTCATCTCAATCTGTAAGATCGCCAGTGTGTCTGCTGGGTTTACAGTGAGTTTATGCCCTGATAACTCTCCTTCCCCCCTCAGGTGTGCCTTTGAGACTTCTGCCATGCTTTTATCCTCTAAAATTAGATGAAGATGTGGGGTTTCATTGTTAAGGATTCCCAAAACTTGATCTGAATCTGAATAACCCTCTTAGTCTGAAAAAACATAGTTTTCATGTATTAATAAAAATTAATATGTAATTAAGAGATGCATATATATATATATATATATATATATATATATATACACACACACACAGATAGATAGATTATAATATATTTTACATTTTAATTCATTACTATTTTTATAAAGAATTGATTGATATTGTGTGAATAATATGTACTCATGTAATCAATAAAAAAGTAACTGTAGCCTGATTCCAAGTATTTTAAAATCTAATTACAAGTACTTCATTTTTGAATCTCTGAGTGCATAATCCAGATTACATGTAATCAGTTACTACCCAGCAAGTACATATACAGAGGGAAAGAGATACAACCAATATTTAAAATTATATAAGTTATTCATATATAAACATATAAGTATATCTAATATACTGTATATAAAAAAGACAAAGTATTGATTTTTGCAGCATACACTGCATATAGACTTATTCATAATTTATTGATCCTCCCTAATTTTATTTTTATTGTATAAAAACACACACACACACACACACACACACACACATATACGTATAATATTTTTTATTAGTTGTCAAGTATAACAACATCACCCCTACCAGAAAATGTAATATAACCACTGTGATAAAACAAATATAACACTGTTTTAAAACAATTTTAAAAGCCCATATTGATCACTCATAATATGAATATTATATATATTGTTTTCCAATCATAGATGTTTTTTAAAGGCTTAATATTCAGATGCAGCTATATAAATAAGGTATTTATAGGTTGGTTTTCCTGAAGTCTAAACACTGTGGCTCTGTGGTGCTTTTAAAACATTGACCTGATATAACAACATTGGCTCAACCAATGGCGTGAGTTTGGGGCGGGACTTTCTATTTGTCTGACCAATAGATGTCCAGGAAACCTGTTTGGAAATATTCCTTATTTTGCATTTGCATTTAGTCCTGCCAGTGTCACAGAAATTATACACTTCACCTTTACTTTATTGTATATTGCTATTGGAGTAACATTGTGACCCAAGTTTACTCATGTATGTATTTACAAAAATAATTTACTTAATAAAATCCTGTTCTTTTAGGACTTTTATGAATAGTTGAGCAACAGATGTAGGTGCTCCTTTGTGCTGGGGTGTTTTATTCTTTGCTGAAAGGATCTGAGTGATGTGGAACATCTGTGATTAGCCCACAATGTGTGCACCTTCTAATGATGAGCAAATTTGATATCCATGCTCCCATTAATATTTAATGTCCCAATAAGTCAGTACGAACGCAGCAGAGTAATTGGTTGGGTAATTGAATTTGCTTGGGTAGTTTGACATCATTTTTCCATCACCGTGATGACACAAGACCTTCAGGAGAGTCTTTTAATAATCAAATGATAATTATACTTTCTACGTGCGGTCCTATATTTCAAACCTGGTGAGCAGATAACATTTTAATTTCAGGAATTAAGGATTGGTCAGGAGTCAGAAGACGCAAATGCCTTTGTTTATAGGACTGTGTTGATGTTGATTCAGATCCGTGTGGGGCGTATAAAGAATCAAACCGTATTCTGATCACACAAAAGTATGTGTACAGGAACTGTTTTATACCACTGTGTCTTTTGAATAATGATTAAGATATTTTAAGAAAATTATACCATCTGTTATTTGAGTTTGATAAATAATTCACATGAGAGAATGGGTTTAGATCTTTCTATTACATAGTATCTTTTCTTCCTCAATAATGTATGATGTAGAAAGGTATTGCAGATTTTTTTTGTTGGATTTTTCTAGGAACCTTTATCTTTTACAAATATATAGCTGTTTTAATAAATCATCATATTAGTGAAGCGAAGGCCTTGCATATCTCGCTTACAGTTAATGGTACTGGAGGGTTTTTGTTTTAACACTGACACATCTTAACCCAGGGGTCGTTCTGTGAAGCAGGGCCTTTTGCAGTTTGATATGGTGCTTTTAAAGATACATTTTGCATGATTTTCAGAATTCTATCAGATAAATAGTGTGTTAATGTGTTAACGAATTACACTGCCATCATGAATTAAGAAATTGAAATAATTTGAGCACAATTACACGTTTGGGCACAATTAAAGGGGTCATATGATGCGATTTCTGCAATTTTCACTTTCTCTTTGGAGTGTTACAAGATTTCTGCAATTTTTCCTTTCTATTTGAAGTGTTACAAGCTCTTGGTGCATAAAGAAGATCTGTAAAGTTGCAAAGACTAAAGTCTCAAATCCAAAGAGATATTCTTTATAAAAGTTAAGAGTCAACCACGCCTACCTAAAACGGCTCGTTCTAACACGCCCGCCGGCCACTCCTTCGTCGAATCCGCCGGCCACGCCATTCTCAAGCCCGCCCGACGCCGCTCACTCAAGCCGGCCTCCGCTCACTCTAGCCCGCCACGTGAAAGCAAAACTACTTTGTTTGGCCTTCCAAAAGAAGACACGACTAGAAATCAGTGGTTAAGTATTAAGTATTTACAACTGTTCCAGAACAGTTCAACCCAAATATTCCGATGTGTCCAGCGCATTTTATGGAGGACTGTTTCCTGATCCTGGGAGAGTA